ACCTTGCCCCCAATTTTGGCATTGCCCTATGTAATGGAAAGTCCAAAGCATGACTCACAATATAGCAACTTGTGTTAAGACCCGATCTTTTTATACTCTTTTGTATGAATTTTATACTTGTTGATGTGATTGATATCTATTCTGGTCCAATATTATCATTTGAGTTGAGTTTGGGATCTGTTAGGCAATGTTTTGAACAGGTTGGGTTGTGTATGTCTAAGGAGGTTTTGACTGTTTTATTTTCAATTTGCTTGAGAGGTGTTTTTGTCGCTCAAACGGTCTTTTGTTTCTCCTACTTTTTGGGTTTGCAGTCTAAATTTTTGGGAGTAGGGTGTTCTTCGCTCTAGCGGCATTTTGTTTGCTTGAGCGATCTGTTCTGCAATGATAATCTTATTGGAGTTTGGGTTCCTAGTTCGAGCCTAGGTTTGGTTACTCGAGCGATGTGCTGTATCTAAAGCTCGAGCGGTGTTTTGTTTGCTCGAACAATCTATTTATATAAAGCTACGAGGAAAGTCACATTTTAGTAACTTTTTGAAGCTCTCTCTACAAATATCTAGAATCTCTTTGCTCTTATCTCTCACTAGAATTCTTGTATAAATCTTCTGATCTCTCTCAATCAATTAGTTTCTCGGTATCCGTGCTTTGGGATTAAAGGTAGAGCTCGATGAGAGGGTCATTTTGATATAAAAAGTTCAAGTTTTCGTCTCTGTCAATTTTGGGGATTTGCTCATCTTTTCTTCTTGCTTTGATGTAGGGAATTTTTTAATGTTCTACATTATATTTAATTTCGTTATGTGCTCCTTGAATAGGGTAGCACTTTGAGTGACTTAGGTTTAAATTGGGTTTGAATTGATTTATAAAAGAGGGATTTTTGGATGTTTTCTTGGAAATGATATCAGAATTGTTTACAGTATTAAGACTTGAGGAAGTTGCTTTTAAAATATGAATGTTAAAAGAAATATTTGTTCTGGTATTATGGAAAACACCTTGATGATTTTTTGATTTGGAACAGGAGAAAATGATGGAATCTTGGAAGAAGGTTATGATTCTTGTGTGAATTGGAAAAGTGGAGTTTGAACATGTAAATGTTACTCCTATGTTTGGATTGTGAAATTCTATCAGTCTCTTGAAACTTATTTATTGAATAGAGATATCTGTTTTAGTTATCAATAGAGGATAGTATTGATTGTTGTAGCAATTGCATGAGAACTAGGTTAACTGAAACCCATTCACTTATGCATTTAATTTGAACATTGGTTTATACTCATTGCATTGAAAAGTATCGTTTTGAAAAAAAATGGGTAAATACCGTGGTGAATCTAGTTAGGGGTGTGATTGTGGTTTTTATGTTGGCCTTTATGTCCATGGTAAAAGTCTAGAAACCTACATAGTTAGGTATCGATTCTTCCGGTTAGTACTTGTAAAATGACTTTTGGTAGTGTTTGTATAGCCTACTTGCCGGCATGTACCTAGAAATTCTCAGTGTGTGTATTTACTACTATGTTTTCTATTTTGACGGTTTATAAATGGAAAGATTATGTAAAATTCTTGTGTTGCTTTTGATTTAATTTTTCCGCATTAGTTTTTATTCCCATTGATTGATTTACTTGTGGGGAATCACATCGATTTTTCCTAACAATAAAACAATCCGTTCCTGCAACAAGAGATGAGTTTGTTACATTGAAATCATATAGTGATAGTCAGTTTACCACAGACAAAGGTCATGTAATGATAATAGATAAACAATTATCAAATAAAAAATGTAATGATAATATATAAAAGTACAGTAATGCCATTTATAAATCTTGAGATGAGGTTAATATCTACCAAGGAAAAAGTTGTAGACTTGATTGTGCAAAGCTTGTTAACTGTTGATGTGCAAATTCTGAATTACATATTGGTGCCACATGGAACCTAATGGAATTAAGATTTTAGTCAAGTAAGTTTTATGTCAAGTTTTCTTTAGGTTAATGTGTTGCAAATACTTTAATATGAAGTTTGTGTAACCTCAGAATTCTTAACAAGACAGAACCAAAAAAAAGAAAGAGTGATCCACTTAGTAATCCAAAAAAATAAGGAAGCCGACGTGAAAATAGGCAATTTAGAAATATTTGTATGGAATCTTAAATGTGGATAATTACCGAATGATCAAGTTGTAGTGACAAAACGTTACTTTTACAATGAAACACCCACGATTGCACACCAATTTCCAAATTTACCACGGTAGCTCCAAGATCGGTGCCTATACCAACCAAAAGTAAGAAAAAAACAAACAGGAGCAAAACATGAAATATTAGTCATTTAACACAGGCCTGATTGCCATTTTCAATAGGGCCACAACCTGTTAATGTCATTACTACTTGTGAACTAATGAAGCATGCTAATAAAGGTAAAACAGAGAATCAAGTCATCTTTCATCAAATGCTGGAGAAGCAAATCATAGATCCACTTCAATTCAATAGTCATATTCATAAATCTTCAAAAATCAGCGTCAAAATTCAGAACCCATATGTTAAATAAAGAAATTAGTGTCATTAACATGATTAATTGAAATCTAAAATTAGATAGTGCACTTTCTTTTCATGGATTGAAGCAGGATGTGCATTCAGAATAAATACACAATTATCAAGGATGGTGAATTATGTAATTAGTTTTACATTTGGCTGTTCTAGGAATTCTTGGTTCTACCCTTGTTTCTATTGAAGTCTCAGAGTTAGCAAACAATTAGCAAGCTACCAACCGAGAGACAAAAAGTGGAAATTCTATGTTAACACAAATGGCCCAACACAATGTGAAATCACAATCTATGTTAACCACGCGTAAGGATTCTCACATGAAATTGTGCGAGTTTCTTAATAAACATATACGACACAACAGGATTTCCTGATTCATTTAGGAACAGTATCTCTTATAAGAAAGGAATGCTGAATAAATAGGTTTTTATAAGATACCTCCTTGACAGATTACATAACAAAAGTATGGTTCTACTACTGGTTTGATGGATCTTCTTGTGGCACAAAGATTGAAAAATGATGGATGATGATGGAGTTTGTTTTCCAAACCCATGTTTCCGATGATTGAACCATACAGTATATATATGGAGTTTGTTTTGCTTATTTGCAGAACCATACAGTATGTAGATTACAAAACAAAATGATGGTTCTGCTATTGGTTTTCTTGGAATTTGTTTTCCAAACCCATGTTTTGAAAATATGATTTCCCTAAAGTTTTGTTCTCAAACTATAACTTTAATCATAACAATTGAGACTTCTAAAAAGAGCATAACTTATCGTATCTAAACCAGTTGGAAGGTCTGCAATTGAAGAACCAGCACATTTAGATATTTTCATTGCTTCAATGCTTTTAGTAACAGAACCAACTTCAATCGCCTAAAAAATCATAAAAACACTTCACATGAATATGATGAAGATGATACATAATATAAGCATTTTAAATGCACAAGTTTCTTCATTTCGAAGAAGCATGTCTGATATGAACTAAGCATGTCGGATTACAACACTACTTTCTAACATATCATGTCAATTGCACTTTTTTGCCTCAAACCTAATACCTTATCAAGACTCAGATCATGTTTTTGCCACTGCTATGCAAAAAGTAGATACAAGGTTTCTTATAATTAATAAATAAAATAAAATGAAATGAAGAAAAAGAATTAAATTCTAAGATCAGCAAATTTATTTTTACTTTTTTAGAGCAGAAATGAATTACGTTTTAAATCACATGATCTACGCTATGAAAGAACTATCCAAGTAGAAAAAAGCTAATGGGTTTTTCACAGAGTATTGCCAACAACCAGATAGAAGCGAGGCAAACATGAAAACAATAGAAGGACAGTAAAATGGGTAATTTCTCAGGCCTAAGGTTATTCAACACTCCAAGAAGTAGACCAACAACTCTGTGCTAGTTACATTGCAGAATAAAGGACTCAACCCAACGGGCCATGATCTTTGATGGGTCTGATCATAGGCTCGTTTGATGGGTCTGACCAAGTGATGCAGATTATTCTAGCTAATCGATCCATTAGATTCATGGGAAGATGAAGTAAAACTTATAGATGAAGATGGTTCAACAGAATTAGCCATTAATCAACATCCTCCTCTTGAGCCTTATATAATATCAATCAAAATCAACACAATAAAATTGTAAGTAAATGAGCAGAATCTATAGATCCCCATATGGGAAATTCAAGTACCTAATGATGAAGGTATGGCTCAAACAATTCCTCATGACACTATAATTTATACAAGTCTACCCCAATCGTACCGCATTTTAGAGCAAGTGGCGTACCATGTTCTCATTCCTGTTTCACATACCGGAACGATCCATGTTTTAGCTATTATAGATTCATCATATTGTTATTATATTATTTTACTATTTAATTTCACCATTTCACATGAGATTCATTTTTCTTCTTAGAAATTTAACCCTTATACAAAACTTGAAGCATAAAGCTTGGTCTCTATGGCTCCATTCAATTGTTAGGAATGGTGTAAAGGAAAGGAAAAGAAAATGCAAATGATTTACTTTGTTTTTGTTAATTGTCTAGTTTACATGTATTAGGAGATAAAGTTACAGACTATTCACATGCATTGGCCAAGCCTGGATTGCGCTCGGTTTCAGAAGGTATTTTAAACAGTATTTGTAATTGCAAAGACATCTTCAGACTCTCTTCATATCTGAGTCTCTACAGTTTGTTTTTCAGCAGTTCCAGAGGTTTCCTTTTCACTGAACTTGTTTCCAAGTGGCTTCTCTGTTGGAAAACCCTATCAGGTCAGCATTCTTAAGAAATGAAAGTTAAATAATTCCTAATATATGGCAGTTGTCATTATCATAATGCAATTATATTCTCTTATGTTTTCCTTCTATTGGCATTGCATAAATTCACTGGAATGCATGTTTTCAGTTGTTTGACAACATTCCCAAGCAGTTGCATCCCTATGACAGGGCATCAGAGATCCTTTTCTGTGTAAGTTTGTATATACCCTTTGAGCATAAGGCTAAGCTGGGTTATATTAGATCTTGTCTTTCTATGCGTTCTCTTTGAACTTTTATAGAACTAGTAACAAGTTATAAAGGATATGCTCTTCTTTTGAAAAAAAGATTAAAAAAACCTTGCTTTGGTATCAAACTTCAAGTGTTATCACACTGCAATATGACACTTGATTATTTGTTAATTTGTTTTCACAACTATTGTTTATCAAAGTTTGCCTACACATGATCTGTACTATTTTAGAAAGCCAGCAAAAAATTTGAAACTTTTTATATGATCAACAAATATTAAATTTGGGGCAAAATGATAATTTTGTCCTCTTTTAAAAAGCTGCGACTTTATTAACAATCATTTTTCCCGCTAACGTAGGAGGATGTAGTTGGTTACAAGTTAATACTTACAACTACTATATACCTTTCCACTACTTGTCAAATTTCTATGATTTTTAATTTGAACTACTGAAGAATAGTGAAACAATATGGTATAGGAAGTGTTTGTATAGCAACATGCCTCATTGTAGTATCCTAATATGAATATAAACTCTAATATCTGGTAACATTTCTTGTAGTATTCGAGTGCACTGGGTCTAGTTTCTTAAATAAGTGAATACAATGTCACATAGCTTGTAGCATTCGAGTGTATTGCACTTTGTTTTCTCAAATAAGATGATATAAGCTCATCAATATTATTAACTATATGGTGTATAATAATAGCATCCAGGATTGTGCGCATTGTAATAGTGTTATCTTACTTCTACGATGCTTTACACATTTTTGAAAGGGGCTAAATTGATTCAACTACTTAAAAAATGTATTATCATTTTGGGCTGATCCTCAAATAGTGTGCTACAAATGACAATTTTACGTATAACATTGGTATATGTCTGGTTGATAAATAAAAAAAAAAAGGCAGCTCTTATGTCTGGTAAAACAGGGGCTTTTTTTTTAGTATTATAATTTCCAAATACTAAAATCTAATAGATTTTTGAATTTTTAATGATGGCTTACTAAAATAATCTTTAACATGTTATACATGTCAAACACCTTTTCTGATTATCAACTAGGCATGTGGTTTAAAGTATATTCCACAAGGAATAGCAAATAGAAAGTATAAAACCCTCCATCCATCTATCATGTCCTTCCCTTATGTAAATCACAAGGCACTAGGTAGCTTCCTTCAAAAACGTACAAAAATTTCTAAAGAACAATTAAAAAGGATCTTGTTGTGGGATAAGAGAAGCAGCATATGATGCTTCTAGATTTAGCAACAAAATACGGTAGGGACGATCAACAAAAGCTAAACAAACACACACACAAAAACAAAAACAAACATATGGTAGGATTTCTAGTGTAGAAAAGTATTGACTAAGTGTCAAGGACTTACTGAAGAGTGGCAAAACAAATCAGTAGTGGTTGAGAAAAAGGGGGTTGTCTGGATGTGAAACAAAGCAACCTGTAGAGAGAGGAAGGTTGTGGAGAGCCTTGAGGTATCTGATAAAATGCAAAGCCACTAGGAGAGAAAGGATATTCCAAAAGGTAACTGTAGTACATCCTTGTATATATAGAGGGTTGATCATGTGACCTGTAACTAGCATTTTAGATATTCCATAATTCTATTAGAATATGTGAGAGCCACTGAGTTTGAGTATTAAAAAAAAGTCAATGAGTTTGAGAAGCTGTGTATTCAAATACTTCCCATTGATAACAGGTCTCAGACTTGCAACTGAAAGCTTCCATACATTACAACATTCTTCTCCGTGTAGCGCATTCTATTGCTGAGGCCCAATTAATGGATAATGCATCTTTTGTTGTAAGAATTACTCCTCTGTAGGATTTCAAACAAAAGTATTCCAGAAATTTATTTGCATCAAGGCTTTTAACTAATATGGTGTATTTATCAATCAGCTCTTGGATAAGACATTTGATGAGTTTGCTAGCCTTTGGATGAATATGAAAGTTGAAGTAAAGACCAAAGAAGATCATGAAGCTCGACAATTCAAGTTCAAGCCTTGTGCATTTAAGATAGAGAACATAATGGAAATTGGCATATCAACTCTTGGTGGTTCATTAGAAAATGAGATACTTTCAGACTGGCAGGAATTGCTTTCTGATGAAAAAGTTGCTGAAAAGGTAATTATAATTTGTGTTTGTGCTGTGTGTGTATAGTTGTTTTTCTAACAGTGTCTTTTCATCCATAAAGAAAGTTGCAATATTTGTGATGGTTTTTCCGTTATTTGTATATAACCATTCAATTCTAATTTGTGTCGATGAAGAGAAATGCATGGAAGTGGATTAGAGGGACCCATTCCATCAAACATATCCCCTTTGAATCAATTAACTGAATTGTGAGTACAAAACTTTCTTATAGCAACAAAGTAGTTTTAGGAGGTAATGTTATTTTGTTGATTTATTTGATTGATAGCGTATTGTTGATGGAATTGCTCATGGTGTGATCTCTTTGACCGGGAGAATCAGTGACATAAATTTTAAGGCTGCGGAATTTCCTACCTTGAGCAACACTACAGGGCTAGTAAGATTGTATGTTTGATGATACAAGAATTTATAATGTTCAATATTTATAGTGTGTATAGGTGAGTTTCATCCTGAGTTTAATTTTATTCATTTTTTTCGTATTTAGGGTTTTGAGAAACTGCAACATTTCTGGTGAAATCTCGAAATATATTTGGAAAATGATGAATCTGCAAATGTTGTAAGTAAAGCATGTTAAGCTTTGGTGAATGATTTTTATTTGACCTTCAGTGTTTTCATCAATGTATAATTGATTACACGACCAAAGCGATTTAATTTTCCATCCTGTTATTGTTATTGCTGCTAGTTTTTTTCACTGTCAAGGCACGAAAAGGACAAATCACAGCTCATTTATATCACAATGCTTATTGAATTTTGTTCACAAATAGTATATAATTTTTTATCATCATGCAGGTGGATTCTGTAGTTTACCTTGTTGACGCGTACGACAAAGAGAGATTTGCAGAGGCCAAAAAGGAGCTGGATGCCCTACATAAAAAACAACAACAATACTGAACAATACTCAACCTTGTTAACACCGGATGTTCTTTTTTTTTTTTGAAATTGATGCTAATTATGTTAAATTTTTGTTGGAATGAATTATTTTTTATTTTTTGGGGTTTAGAATAGGGTTTTGTGAATTGTTCCTTGTTTTTGGAATCAATGTTGCTGCTGCTGAGTTATGTGTTGAAACTTGGATATAGAAAATTTTATAATAAGACCTGTTTTGATAATGAATTCGTCCTATTTTGATTATGAATTCGCTAAATATTACAAGTGTATTATTTTCCTGCTTTGGCGACCAATTTATTAGTCGCGACAAATAAATTATTTTTTTTCTCAAAAAATGACAATTGCCGACCAATAGTTTTGGTCGCACAAAATACATCTATTGCCGACCAAAAATTTTGTTGGTCGTGGAAACTCACTTTTGCCGACCAACAGTTTTGGTCGCGAAAAGTAACAATTGGCGACCAAACTAATTTTGGTCGCACAATGTCACAGTTGGCGACCAAAATTTTTGGTCACGAAATGTCACAATTGGCGACCAAACTTTTTGGTCGCGAAATGTGTCAATTGGCGACTAAGAAATTTGGTCGGCAAAAGGCGACTTTTCGCGACCAAAGTGTTTTAGCGACAAAATGAATTAGTTGCAGTAATTAAATATTTAGCGACCAAAAATTTAGTCGGCAAATCCAACTTTTGCCGATCCTCAATTGGCGACCAAACTAGCGACCAAAAAAATTGGTCGCGAATAACTTTTGCCGACCAAAAATAAACTTTTAGCGACCAATTTTTTTGTTGCTAAAAGTGTTAATTGTTGTAGTGATATAAAACCCGCATTATGTCTCATGAATGCGTTACATTCTCTGTTTAATATATGTGTTTTAATATTAATATATTGTGAAGTCCATGTATAAAATCAAACTCAACCATAATATTTTTTGAGTTTGTAACATGGTTAAAAAAGAAATCATATTTAAATACATTAATTTTTTTTAATACTAACAAATTGAAAAGTCACTAAAAAACCAAACCCCAAACCACACCTTAGTTTATTGCAGCCGTCCACGCTAAGCAGGTGACTTGGAGCCCAAGAGTGCCTGCCTCTGTAATGACTATGTGTAAAGTAAATACATTTGGACATAACCAAAAAAGACTTCTAAAGCATATTATAGTCTATATATATACAGATATTGCAAAGTCATATTTCCATTATAATCACAATAAGTTCTCAACATTTTTTTCTTAGAACTTCCATGGCTGGCCTTCAATACAAATTCTTCCCTACTGATTTCTTCTTTCCTCCTCAACAGTCGGTCAACAACACAGACATTCCTCTTCGGCAAGTTCTTCCGATTAAGCCTCGAAAAATCGGTGATATTAACGGCTGTGAACAACCCATAACTCCAATCATCAACGACAAGCATCTGAAAGGATGATGTCAACGGCTCTGAACAACCCATAACTCCGATCATCAACGACAAGCATCTGAAAGCTCCTCCGTCCTCATCTCTGCCTATATCTCCCATTGGCAAGGAAAATCAGAGCAAGTTTCACTAGGCAATCGTATCGTGTTCTTTAAGCTATGATATTTTTTTACCTTAATCCTTCTTTTTATTTTTTATTGACGTAATCTGGTTGTCGTACTTTTGGTTTGTATTAGTAATATTTTTATTTTGTTCATAAATAATAATAAGGAATAAAAAATCATATCAGGCTGAAATGGTGGAATATTGAAGACATTCAGAGTTTAAATTAAGTTCTTCAATGGTATTAAAGAAATTTTATGGTTTTTATATGATGTAAGGATAAAAAAGTTTGTGTTCCCTTTTTATTGTTACTTTTTTGTTTATGAGATAGTTATTTTACTATGTATTTCTACCACTTTATTTTCTTCATTGTATACCCCTTTTAGGTGGCATATACATAACATTTGAAAAGCTAAATGATGTGTTTGTGAAAATTATTCTATACTCTTGAAATATGTTTAGGTGTTGCTCCAAATAAATAGTTATTGGTTTAAATCATAGGTCCACCATTTTTGTGTTAAAATTTTAGAAAACAAAATGTTAAGTATCAATTTGTTAATGAAAGAGGAGCATAGTCTCAAGTTTGTGTATTAAATGGGTTTGTAGAAAGAATAAAAGGAGATTTGATCAAAATTTCTTTATAATAAAACTGTAATGCATTAAGAACCGTACAAAAAAAATTCTTGAAAAATTTAACACATATCACTATTATCAAAATATATTTAGTGAATAATTTAATATTTTAAACTTTAAAATAATAAAACTTTTGATCTAAATGTCGATTCTTAATAAAATTAGTATTTTCAAAATTCTCTAAGATCTATCAACAAGGTCTATATTAGCTATGAAATTTTTAAAAAATAAAAAAAATACCATCAAAATTAAAGTAAACAATAATGTGTTACTCTATCTCACAGTAATATTTTACTATTACAACAAATATAACACATACTAGATGAACTAACGAAAAATACACATACACAACATTTTTAAACTTGTATAAAATGAAATAAAAGTGTAACTCGTCAAAAGAATTTGGTAAGATATATATATGGGCAATATTATCCAAGAAAAAAAAATTTACTTTTGGCTTTACTCAAATTATGCGCCTCCTCCTTAGGGAGTTAATGAAGCAAAATAAATTAGGTTGTACTTTTCATTAGGCCTTGTTTGTCAACTATATATTTTAGCCAAAAAATTCAAAATTAATTATAAATTGTTATATCACTCTCTTTACTTTTTTAAACATTTTTTTATATATACAAAAAGTTAAAAAATTACTAAAATAGCATGTTCCTAAACGAGGCTTGAATAAAGATCTAATGAAGAAATTTTGATTAAACTTTTTAAGAATAAAAGATTAAATATGTATATATATATATATATATATTAAATGGACACTGGGGCTCACCGTCACCTCGCTCTCCTCTTTAACCACTCTTGCAAGGGTGAGTTTTTATTTTTATTTTTTATTTTTATATCTAGATATTTTGCAAGGGAGAGATTGATTACATAATCAATGGTTATAAAAAAAAAAATGACTTAACCTATCAATATATCTCAATTTCAAATTTAAAAATAATATAGAGAATTATCAATTTAACTTAATAGAAAAATTACAAACATTGATTTTAAATTTTAAAGACATGTAATAATCTCATGCACTAAAATGAAAATCTTCATTTCAATCATGTAATGAGAGGATCTTAACCGTCATGATTTTTGGCACATTTTTAGAAGTTATTTATTTTTTTTAAACTGAATTTTTTAAAGTTAGTTAAAGCCTTGAAAAATTTTGAACCAAAAATTTTATAATTTTGATTTTTAATTCCCATTAATTTATGTCGAGGATTATAGGGTTCGGTTAGAAGACTTCTATGATGTGTTTTTGCATAGAGTTTTATAAATGTTCATTTTGAATACATAATTGTTTGAGATGATTTAAATAAATATACTTTTTAACTTTTTACGAAAATATATGTAGAAAAATAAAGAGATGATATGATTTAGAAAAAATAAAAAGATAAAAAGTGTACTTTTTTCATGAATATGACACTATGAAGAGGGATCATACTTATGAATGAAGCGCAATAATAATCACCCACACATAGAGCATGATTTTGCTTTAATAATGTATTGCATGAATTTTCATAATCTCATAATTTGCATGAGTTTTGGTTTTAAGAGGAAATGTCGTCAAGATTTCATATGTTGTCAAGATTTCAAAATTGTGTGAACAAGATTGATTGTGTTATGATAATTATTATATGTTTTTGAGATATTGGAGTGAATTAATGAAATTGTTTGTTAGATTAATTTTTTAACTTGAGTTTTTTTGGACAAACAAACTAGATTTATGCTAAATTTATAAATACAATGACAATGAATATTAGACTAATTTCAATTGAAAAAATTGATAAATCTGATGAAATTTCACGATTTGAGGAGTAGAAGAGGGAAAGGAATTTGAAAAGTGAAGTGTCATGTCAACAGCAAAATACGAGATTTTCTAAAAATGATGATGGACGAAATGTGGGTTAATTAATGATAAATATAGAGAGACATGTTGAAAATCTTTTTTACTTTTTTTAGGGTAAACCTCACTTTTCCCCCTATAGTTTAGGCCATGTACAGATTACTCCTTTTACTTTCAAATATAATCACATAACCCCCATGTGGTTGATGGAGTAATGTGCACCGTTACCTTTTCCGTATATTTTAACTACCTGTGCAGTGCACGTGAGTGTGGTGCAGTTGGGCATGAAAATAATTTTTTCTCCAAATTAAATGACTAAAATGCCCTTATCTTCATAATCAATTTCCAAAGAATAACCTTGTATTATTTTCTTCATCTTCATCGTCAGATCTGAAAATGTGATAATTTTGATTTGGTTCTCTTTCTCTTCATTTCTTATCAAATCACTCCATTAATTTAGCACATGAGTTAAAACACTTAGCAACAACAATTTCAAGCAGATGTATAAGTTCATGGGATTAAGTCAATACATTGAGTCTCAACGATTGAGAAGAAACCAAAAGAAAATTGTTTCCAGGACTGGTGGCACTGGCAGCACAGAATGATGAAACAAATTTGAAATGAATAAAATAAAAGGAACTACGGAGTTAAATTTCAAAAAAAAAAAAATCTAAATTCTATCTGTATTTCTACCACAGATCAGGTGTTATTGTTGCAGATGTGGCACAGAGTTGGGGTCGGTCAACGGACCAGTCACCCTGGGGGGCCCACGATAAGTCCATCAACATCAACGGCAAGAAGCAGATTTTTCCATAAACATCCTGTACAGATGAGCTCTGGTGGCTGAACAATTGTGTCATCAAATGTGGGTTCGTTGTCGCAGAGATCGAAGAAGATAGAGGAGTTTGCGGCGACGACGGTGGTTGTGGATGATAGTGAGAGTCAGAACCGGCAGCGTTTGGCCGGAGAGTTTTTAGATCTAGATTATATATAGATCAAAGAAGATTATATATATACATATATACATATATATAACCACAAAATATATATATATATATACATATATACATTTTTCTCTCTCTTTCTCTGTTTATCTCTCTAAATTGATGTGTTACTATCATAAGAAATTAAGAAAAAGAAAACAAAATCAAAATCATCACATTTTCCCTACTGTAAATGTGATGAGTTATTTTGTGACTGAAATGTGATGATTTTGTGTAAATTGATGAACTTAGGAAATATAATTGAAAC